TTATATTGTCGATCATATCACGATCTGCATGATTAAAGGAACACTATAACATTAGGAATACAAGTCTGTATTCCTAGCATTGTAGAGTTGTACTACTAGGTACCCGCCTTTTACACCCCCGTGCGGCAGTGAAAGGGTTAAAACCCCTCTTTCTCAATGAGAAAAACTGGAAAATAGAAAACTCAACGAGCAGCCTGTGATTGGCCTTTCAAAGGTTACAGTCAGCAGAAGTGCAGGTTTTGCACGTTTTTCTCCAGATATACCCCATTGACTACATGCAGAACAAATGCGTGAATGTATTAATTAGGATAAATATACAAAATAGTGATTTTATGTTTTGTTTTTTTTAATTAATATTTAGTGTGCAGTGGTGGTTTAACATTTACCTGCGATTTCTACCTTTTGCTGCCCATTGTTTATAATATAATGACATTTAGGAGAGTCAGAGCTCCTGCCCTTTGACCAACACAGGTCACCAATCTCTCAGACTTATTCACTGAGAAGGCAAAAGTCTGTCTGATGTCACATAAGAAGCAGCCTTGTGACTTGCACCTTTCGTCCATGTGGCACACCCCTATCTCAGCCATGTGCCACCCACCTACCTAATATGCATCACTCACCTTACCAACTTATATGTTCACATTCCTCTTCACTCATACGAAACCCCATGCTGTGCTTTACGCAGCCCCAAATCTAAAAGAAGAAGCTCTCCCTCTTTACCACATAGTGAAATCTAACTAAATGCTAGTTATGGGTTGTGCTACTTGATTTTAAAACAATTCTGAACCATTTATAAAATTGTATTTTACTCTCTATGCCACTATGTAAATTAAATAAATTGTGCAGGAAGAGGCCAGAGCCAGCAACCTCAAGCAGGAAGAGATACCAGGAGGCGTCCTAGTAAAAAAAATCTACTTTTTAAATGTTTCACATCTTTTATCTTACCTTATCCAATGAACAGGCAGGGTTAGATAATTATTTTATTCTTTTAAAATACTTTTTTTTTAGCTATCATTATCAAATAAAGCAAATCATGAGTGTAGTGAAGGGGAAGAAGAGTGGGTCAATAGTCTCCGGGGGCTGAAGTGAGGGGCATTGCAGGGTCAACAAAGCCCCCCCCCCTCCTGGCACACTGCCAACATCTAGCTGCGTCTCTGTCTGATACATGCAACAGGTGCAGAGCAACATGCCGGCATCCACGACCTGAAAACTGTGCCACGCGCAGTGCCCATACTTCCCCACCACTAGACACCAGGGACCCTCGCTTCCTTTCCTACTTCCACCAGTAAAACTTGTGTTACATAGAATGTGACAGCAGATAAGAACCATTCAGCCCATCTAGTCTGCCCAACTTTCTAAATACTTTCATTAGTCCCTGGCCTCATCTGATATCTAGTATAGCCTTATGCCTATCCCACGCATGCTTTGTGTTCGACTATGCTCTGTGTGTGACTGTATATACATAGATATGCTGGTCCACATGGAGTGTTTGTTATGCAAAGGATTAGCGCAGTAAAGACTAACCTAGGCCAAATCAACTGAACTAAAAATATCTCAGTTCCAACTCTTTTCAAATCTGCTTTGTGGGCCTAGAATCCTAGATATTACAATTCTTGGTATTTTGGTATTAGAATTAATGGTTCCACAAACACCTTTAATATTATTATTAATAAACATTCCCAGGCATTAAGGGCCATACAATGTGTAGAGGGCATGGAAGAATGGTTTGGGGGAGGAGCAAATACGAGATTTTCTCCCCAGCGCCTCATGACCTTGCGATACCCCTGAAGCAAATGTCCAAACTTGAGTAGATAATGGACTCAATGCATATTAAAAACAGGCCTTTCCTGATTTGACAATGTAACAGGCTTTTCTTCAGATTTGTTTTCCAATCGTTGGCAGTCAGCAACAAGCTACAGTGAGGTTTGAGGGAGGATGCTAAATGTCAAGGGGATAAGCCTTTTTTATATTGTAACTAGCAATGCCTGTCATCGGCATCCTAAATTCACAAACCTCCCAAAAATCTTCCTAACCCTCTCTTAGGTCTCCCTTACATGATCTCATTTTCAGCAGTGCTCCTGCTATGATAACTTTAGCTTTCTATTAAATATTGCTGCTGTTATGAAACATGTCAGCTATTCCGTTAGCTATCAGCACACAGTGTGCGCATGGTTAAAGCATCAAGACAGTTGGCATCAGTGTTTTGATCCATCACAAGTCTCCCGATCTCATGCTTTGAGAATTAACTTTGTCTTTCAGGAATACTGGAGTTGTGTATATGTTTAGATTCCAATTTTAACAAATAACATATTATTTTCAACAACATATTTGATTTCATATCAAACACAACCACGTATGAACCAAAGAAAACAGTTTTACATGTTGGCTACTTTCTCCAAAACTTGAAGTTTCATGGTCAATCTCTGACGATTTGTAGTTAAATTAAAATTACCCCAAGTATGGTGCTCAATTAGTGAACCACTTCCCTCAAGGTAAAAAAAAAAAAAAAAAAGGTGTAGGAATTGTGTGACTTACAACAAATACTTTCATGGTTATTAGCTAAAGTGAGGATTGTCAAGAATTCAAAGTGCGCTGAAAATGTAAGGTCAAAATAGCTGGGCTTGAAAAATTCTTCATCAGCTATGTGTCCACTTCTGCTATTTTTGTTTTATATTTGAAATTCACTCTGAAATCTCCTTTCATTAGTGACAATTCTCACTTTAGTACATACATTTGTGCATGCCACCCACTGTCCCACTTTTGGTGGGACAGTCCCAATTTTGGGGTACTGTCTTGTGTTAGTTCCCTGGTGTCCCACGTCTGGCCCCGGGCAGCACAGAACGAGCACATCATTAAACATACTCGCATTGTGTCGTGGGCATTAGGATTGCACCCTGCATGGTGCTGATAGTTTGGGCCAGACTGACTGTCAGCTGCACTGTGAGCCAGTTAAATGGTTCATGTGCTCTGAGCCAGCTAAAGGGTCCAGTCAGAGGCTTCTCTATTACAAGCCTTTAATTGGACTGCGCATCAGATGCTGTGACGTCAGGAAGGGGTGTGGAATAGAGGTAAAAAAAAATTAAAAACTATTTTGGTAGTGATCTGGAGAATCACTACTAAAGAATAATACCCAACACAGCATTGTTTGTTTTTTTTTTTTTTGTATTTCTAAAACGTATAAATGTTTAGTAACTTTTTAAAGTTTTGTGGATAAAAAATTTAATCATATTGAATTGAAAACCAAATTGGAGAATGTAGGTTAAAATAAGAGTATTTTAACAAATCAATTATTTTGGCTGAACTATTGCAATTTTCAATTCACTACAATTTACTGTTTAGTGCATAACATGTTTTAATGTTTAAGATTCTCAGGAAGAAATTTAACTAACTATCCACACGTTACATTCACTCGTAATGATCTGTTCTTATATCAAATCACCTAGGATTTATGGAGCATGATTGGTGCAGACAGTGAATCAACCAAGTTTGCTTATTATAGAAAATACTCCAAATACTCAGGAATCCTATGTTTATGAAATGCTAAGTCATTAATCTGGGTGAAAGTGTTTGGCTTTCCTATACTGTCACTCATATATTGCAAGTAGAAAGTCTGCATTTAAAACCGTGGGAAAACCGATAGCAACACAAAATGTGTGTAGTCAAAACGCCATCACGCACTTTTACTTCATTCGCTGAGCAACACGTTCTGGTGATTTGAGATCCAACTTGCAAATTGTAGGCTAAATAGAGGGGTTAGGGTAAGGCTAGTTTTATTGATGACTTAATTGGAAGTGGAGCTGCTGCTCTATGGAGACTGACCTTGCACTGGAATAAAGGTTGGTTTTATAGCCATTTTTAGCTTGTTACAAAACAAACTGGTAATGCAATAGCCTTGATTGGGACTCCTGCCCTTCTAACCTATTTATATTCCTGTGTAATAGATTACACCAGAAAATGGCTGTATAGGGTTTAGCTCTGAAGAGCTAACAGAAGTATCCGGTAAGGAACCTCCGGTTGTTGGCCGATGGTAGTGGTGGTGGGGTGCAGTGCCTGGCGGACCCTTGGGAAGAAGTCGAACCATTCAGAAATTATTTGACTCCTTACAATGGGGCGGAGGGGCAGTGCATATGATGCTTGGTGTGGTGGTTATGGTGCTTGGAGTATTCTTTAACCCCTTAAGGACACATGACATGTCTGACGTCATGATTCCCTTTTATTTCAGAAGTTTGGTGCTTGAGGGGTTAAAGAGGAAGATTGACAAGTGGAGGAGGGATCATTTTTGAAAGCACATTAAATAAAAAAAATGTACATTGGGGGCAGGGCCTGACTGACATGGTGGAAGGATGTGCATTGCATGAGCTCCTCTCCTACACTACATAAAACTGTGGTTTGTAGCCCCCTCTAACCGGCTTCGAATTGGTGATCCTGGTCCATCCCTGGGAGGCTACACCCCGGGGTGAAGCCACAGAGGCTGACAACTACTCTAGTGGAAAATCCAACGTGGCGGATGCCTCATGGTTCCCTGGTGGCGCAGAAAAACCACATGATACCTGGTCCAAGCTTAATGAGATCTTCGAGAACTTGTGGAGGATGCTGAGCAAGATGAGTCGGTGTACATCCCACAGCAGAAACCCACGGCCTTGGCAGTAAAGCAGGCCCCAAAATGGCACCAGAAAAGGAAGCACCCATCACTCCAATGTAAGGCAGCTGGACAGCTACAATCTTCTGCTGGGTCCCTTACCTTCCCGGAGATCCAAAGAGGATCCCCGACTGTGATATGTGGCCTGATCTGCCGGCTCACCTCGAGACCTGGAAGTTCACGGTACTCACCTTGGCAGCGAGACTGTGTCATCCCCTTGGTCAGCATAGGCTGACCTGAGCCAGAAGGGACTTATCCCCCCAATACTGCTTAGATGGGGAGATGGTCATTGCCTACCACTCAAGCACTCTCCTTTGCTGTCTTTGAGTTTCTGAGATTTTATTTTATTATTTTTATTTCACCATGTTATGCCTCTAACCAGTTAGTGGCGTCCTAGGGGACTTCTCCTGTTAAATACAACTAGCATGTTACCATCACTTTATCTAAAAATGGAGCAAAATGCTTAGTTCGCTTAGCTTGCCTACCCTTAATATAAAATGTGCAGTTTTTCTCATGTGCCATGACAATGTAACCATGTGTATCTACCTAAAAATGCTTGTCTATGCTGTCCTGACATACTTAAACATGTTTGTATAATCTTGCACGCTATAAATAAAGAATATAAAAAATAAATAAATGTACATTTGCTTGTTTTTTTCATAGATTTAACGGGAAAGCAAGTATGCTCTTGTAGAGCGCGCCTGACTTGTCCCCCAAGTCACTGTGAGCTAGTGAGCGTGAGTGCCTGTTTCCCTCTGTGTCCCTGGCTCTGAGTGCATGTAGGCACTTCCAAGCACCCTTGCGGCTCAATATTAGAGGCTTCGCACTGAAAGTAAATGCTGGGGAAGAGGGGGAGGGCTTGCAAAGGCTGCAGACAAGAGAGCTGCAGCTTTTGCAAGATGTTTTTAGATATACCCAAAACAAAAAAAAATCATAAATAAAAGTATGCATGTTTTCATTTGGGGAATATCTACTAAAAAGTGATTTACATTTTAATTTTTGTTGTATTTAAAAAGGGGAGTGTCACTTTAAATGGGGACCAGGAGGGGAGTTCATTGTTCAAGGATACCAGGTAAGTACCAGATGTTGGATTTAATATCATGATCAAAGTGCCTAATAAACCTTATAAAGTGCCTACATATTCCGCAGCGTTTTACAATGGGGACAAATTAATGTAATCAGGAATGAGTTAAAAAGGGCCTTGCAACCACAAGCTTACAATCCACTCAAGCAAACTAGATTACATTTAAAACTGCATAGAGATACATGTCAAAGTTTGTCAAATAATAGATTTTGTACCCAGCATACAAAGTGTTAAACAATCCCATCTGAACCAGGATCCATATGTACGCCGTGTCAGTGATTCCCAACGTCGGTATAGGTTGCAGAGGAATAAATTGGGGGTTTGTATAAAACATGGAGCGCTGTTTTCTCCCCAAAATTTTGTTACATCTTCTGTTTGCACCAATATTTCTCCTGTGTGCACCATTCCTTGGTATATAATAATAGAGCTGCTGAAGTATTTAAAAAAGGTAAAAATATGCCTTTTTGACTGACAGTTTTTTCCTGCTCTTTCAGAGTTTTCTGTGACAAGTACCCAGCTTTCAATCTTCCTTTCTTTTAAAGGGCTACAAAAATCAGACTGCAAGTGCGGCTTTTATTGTAGAAACACTGATTATTTTGACCGTCGGTTTTATAGTTATATACGTAAAGATACACTATCCAAAACAGTATTTCTTACACTACAGCGTCCCTAGTGCTCCCCGCCACCTTTCCCCCGATGATAAATAAAGGGTTAAAAACACTCTTAACCCCCTTGTTTTTTGGCACTGGCTCGGGCTCTGTAATGTGCATAATCGGCGAGCACTGCGCATGGATTAGGCATTCGATGAAGTCAATGCTTTACCTACGGCAAGTTTAAAGATGTTGGACGTCCTTATGCAAAGCGTAAGGGCGCCCAGCGTTGTCGTGTCACAGAGTTAAACAGCAGGAAGCGCCTCTAGTGGCTGTCTGGCAGGTTTTCTTAGCACCGCAGTGTAAACATTCTCCGAAACTGCAATTTTACATAGCAGAACGAAGGGGAACAGGGACAATGCGCCCAGACCACTTCAATGAGATTAGGTCGTCTGTTTGCCTACAGTGTCATTTAAGAAAACATTCACACAAAAGTGAATGAGACACTTCTTATACATATCTCCCAAATATCTGCAGGACACAGGAGTCAGCCCTGATATGAGCAGAGCTGAGTTCAGTGCATTGGATGGGGAGTGTAGTTTGCCTCCCAGACAGAGCATTGAGAGGCTGTAGGATGGGCTGAATGGGATGGGGTAGGATGGGCTGGGCTGGGCTTCTGCAAATCACTCAGCAAAAAGCTGATGGACCAGATGTACTCATTTTATCCACTGACTCAGATTGGAGCTCTGTGCTGATCTAGGAGGAGAGGCTCTGCCCATTAACTTCACACTGCATTCAGCCAGGGGCAGGACTGCAGAGCCAGGCAGAGTGTTGGCTGAGGATTACAGGAATTGCAGACTCTGCACTCTGACTTTTCCTCTGTCTGTGTGTTACCAGCAGAATGGAGACTAATGACAATTCATCCAAAGATAAAGCAGGTAAGTCTTCACTCCATGATAAGCAATGCTCCAGGTGCAGTGTGAATATTGATTGCAAAGCTGGCTGAGATTTGTGGGTGCTGTGATCCACAGTATTTCCAGCTGCCCTACCAAATGCTGCTTACATGCTATATTTTCTATGAAGTCAGTTTATTCAGAATTTACTAAAGATGGAAAAAAAAATCTGTAGACTGTTTGTCTGGCTGAGCATACTGTGAGATAGTTCATAACAGATTGAGTGGGACTTGCATTACCCTTAGTTGTCCTCGTTAAATATAGTTTACACCTTCAATATCCTACTTTATCAGATATCTCTGTCTCACTTTTCCTAGTAGATGTTTGTGTGTATCACAGAGCTCCACAAAAATAAAACTCACAGTGATATGTATGAGTTTATCACAAAGCTTCACAGAGTTGCAACTTACTGTAATGTGTATGAGTGTATCACAGAGCTCCACAGAAATAAAACTCATAGTGATGTGCAGTGTGTATGAGGGTATCACAGAGCTCCACATTAATGTGCTGTAAACCATAGCCAGTGTGTACAGAAATTAGTTTGCATAAATAAATGACAGATTTAGTTTCAAGTGACTTCCCCAGTTACTTGGATATCAGTAGTTCATGAAATTCTCAAAAATGTTTCAGTAACCACACCTCGTGATCACGCCCCCAGTCACATCCCACAAACACGTCTGGTTATTTAAACTTTTGGGAGGTATGCGGTTCTGGCTGTTTTTTTGCCTGCACTGGGCTTGCTAGGGCAGGCTTTATATGTCAGTGCTGCGATGAGTTCTGGCATATTTTCTAATTCCGTCCTGCTCAATCATACTGCAGCGGTGATTTTAACCCTTGTATCAGGTCAAATCGCGAGATCTCTAGTGCCCAAAAGGTAAATCCCAAGATGTTTTAAAACGACCGTTTCCATGGTGCTTTGTCATTCTAAAGACATGCGAAGCATCGTGGGAGTTGTAGTTCTACAACATTTGGGGATCTACCTATTGGGCACACATGCTGTAGATGTATTATCATGCCCAAGATTCGCCAGTCTGTAGGAACGTGCGTCGGATTTATTTACTAATCCGGAAAAAAAAATTCCGTAACCCAGATATTTTTTCCTAATATTCTAAATTCTCTTCTAAATTCTTCACAATTCCTGTTTTTGTGGATAACCATTTCCTAGTCTAAGTGGGCCATGCAGCCGGTTTAACCCTTTTGAAGCAAGAGAACTGAAATAAACCATAAGTTTATGAACATTCTGGGTCCAGAGGGCCACGTTTTACGGCTGTTGTTTCCGAGGGGCAGACGGAAGGTAGACCCTGTTTCCTCCCCCCGCTATTGTTCAGTCCTTCAAACTGCAAGTAGCATGCATGAAGTCTGTTCACCATTCCGAGGGATCTGTTATTAATTATTATTAATTAGAGTGTTTATGTATAACGTGTCCTAATGTTTCCAAGTATTTAAAAGTTTTACCCAGAGAGTGTGGGAGATTGCTGGTATTACGCAGTGCGTTGGGGAGGGATTTAGGACCAGTCTGATTTTTTTCGGGCGAGTGTTTTAAGCTGCACAGTAAGTAGGTCACAATCATTCCTTGCATACTCCCTGCATGGAATTAATAACCCTACCGTTGCCAGGATAGCTTCGCCAGAGACACAAGAGAAACTTACAAGTATTTATATAGCGCCAACATATTCCGCATCGCTGTAAACAAGACACACATTTAATTCTAACAAAACCTGTTTGACCTACGGGTCCAGTAGATGAAGGGGGCCCTGCCCTAATAAGCTTACAATCATCCTAAAGGGAGTGTCCAACGACTTTATTTAAACAGAATAGTGGACTGGGCACACAAAAGATGTCCAAGGTATTGAACAAGAAAAGGTGTAAGCTTGAGACACGCTCGTTCTGAGCTGAAACATTGCCTTTTATTCAATAAATCTGCCTTAAACTTTTTTTGGGTTTATTGCAAAGACTGGCAGAACACGAGTAGGAAGAGGTGGGCTGGGGTCCCAGAGATCCCATGTTCCTTATAATGGCAAATAAGGTGTAAAAATGTCCTGAAAAGTGATCTAAAGATATAAAATTAGTCTTTTGGTTCCACTGGTTTCCATGTTGACTGCACCCCTTTTAGTACTTTAGACCACTTTCCAGAACACTGCACATTAAAGGGATTCTGTAGTGCCAGGAAAATAAACCCGTTTTCCTGGCACTGTAGAATCCTGGAGTGTTCCCCTCCCTCCCGCTCCCGATCCCACGTCGCTGAAGGGGGTTCCCACGTCGCTGAAGTGATGTCCTTCGGTGCTGGGTCAGGCTCCGCCCACGCTCATCCCCCTCTGACGGGGGAGACCTAATGCACATGTGCGGCAATGGCTGCGTTCACATTAGGATCTCACCATAGTAAAGCATTATTCAATGCTTATCCATGGAGATTACATAGACGCTAGAGGTCCTCATGCATAGCGTTAAACGGACATGCATCGTTTAGACGACCGAAAGTCATCTAAGAACCCGGAAGTCCCTATGGGCTGAAGTGGTCTGGGTACCTACAGTGTCCCTTTAATACATAGCCCCATCGTATCAGTGTTTTAGGATGCCATTTTAGGCAGGTGAGACATTTTGAGAAGGTGTGAGAATGGGGGGGATGCATATTTTTACAGAAACACTTTCTGGTTAATGTTGGAGCCCAATCAGATTTGGTCAACACTTATACCCAACGTCTGGACCAATTAACTCCCTAAGGATCAAATATTTAACTTTGTTGCCACCAGAATTGGTCTCTAAAGACATTATGTCAGCATGGGATGTACTGCTTATTGTGATATGGAATCTCAGTGGAACCATGCTTCATGTGTTAAATAACTGTGTCCTTTACACCGTTTATCATGGCCATAACCTTAGTCCTTAAGGGGTTAATCTCATGGTGGTTTGGGGTATCTTGTGAGCTGTAAATCCCCTCTCAGTGAATGGTTCAGACTGGATCCTGCATTAAAGGACCACTATAGTGCCAGGAAAACATACTCGTTTTCCTGGCACTATAGTGCCCTGAGGGTGCCCTCACCCTCAGGGACCCCCTCCCGTCCGGCTCTGGAAAG